TTTGTTTCTGGTTCCTAAGACATTAGAAGATAACCGAAAAAATAATATTCCAGTAACTAGCATATCTAACTGCAGGAGGGGGAGGAGGGTCAATTAGTTGCTATACTGAGATGGAGCCTCTGCTGTTAGGAACCCCAGGTCACCAAGCCTTATGGAATATAAAGATTTCCTACTTCAGTATTTCTGTTTCTTTATGACTAGATTATAAAAATCTATTTTTTATTGACCAGAACTAATTAATGAAGATGTAGTATCTATGCTTCCTCTGTTTTATCAATTAGAAAGTTGTTTCATGTGCTGTTAAATAACAATGTGTTTGAGAATATTTCAAAGAAAAACTACTTTTCTTCCCTTACTTTCTTGTGATTCAGTTTTTAAAAATCTTTATCCCATATGTGCTGCATGTTTTTTTTTAAGATCCTGTGAAAAATTGTCCTAGACAAGCATTTAACAAGGCTGCCGCCTCTGCCTTTTTCTTTAAACACATGTAAATCTAATGCATAGCTTGCCGTTCTCATGTTTAAATAACCTTTTTTCTCATCTTCTTGAATATAATAAGCTCAATTAATAATTGTAAACAGTTTGCAGTAATTGTTGACTTGTCCAGCTTACTTGCTTTATCTCAGAGGATGCTTGTTTGTTTTATCAGTTTATTACTTTGGAAGAAGTGATCTTTGTAATTTCTGTTAACATTGAAACAAATAGAAGATCAGCAGATGAGAAACATTGCAAGTTATTTGAGATATAAGCTTAGCATGCAGAAAAATAGTAGGGTAAAGAAAAATCAGCTCTGCGCAGAGCTTGAAGATACTCCTAAGCAGTTCTTAGTGTGTATTGTTACTCACAGTACAAATCCTGATTTCTCTTGGCTAGCTTTTATTGCCAGAAGTCCAAGGGATGTGCTAGAAGCATCAGCAAACAGAAAAAAATGAAGGTCTACAGCTCAGCTGGCATACTAAGAAATGAGAAATGTCACTCTTCTCATGTCACTTTGAACTAGCAGTGCCACAGGAATATTTTCAGTCAACCAAAATTCATTGACACAGGGCCATACAGAGGCAGTTAGTGGAACACACACACACCCCCCACACACACACCCCCAAATGCTGGAATTTTAACTTCAGTTGTCTTCAGATTTCATTTGAACAACACCACTGATGATTACATATTTTAAGGTCAAAAATGCCTCATTGAAAACTGTATGTTCCTAAGACCCCTTTTCCTATCTTGGATAAATATGTTGGAACAGTAAAGTCCTTCTCTCTGGTTATGTTGATGATCATATGTAACTATTCTTATGCTACAGTCATTTAATCTTAAGTTTCTGTATGCATGCATTCAGATTAAATATTGGTCTGGTGTCATTGTGAACACTGCCATCTACATCTTTCTAGTTCTAGTCTTTTAAAGCCTAGGCAGTTGAAATATTTTCATGTCATTTGCAAATCTGACGTGGTTTTTCACTTCAGTGTTTCAAGCTGTTCTACCTGCAAAATGGTAGTTCAGAATTAAAACATCAACTCTGATGTTAGAAAAGGTCTGGTTTTGTTTCTGTCTAAAACAGTATGGCTACAGATCTGATAACCTAGCACTGCCAGTCCCCTTGTCAACAGTAACTTGTTTAACTCGTGAGGTTGTGCGCAGCATGCTCGGTGGTGTCAGGGGTTTTTTTTATACCTGTGGTCTGAGAACGTCAGCCTTTGGTAATCGCACTGGCTTACTGCTGGCAGATGAGGTAATGACTGTGTAATCTAACAAGATGAGCTCATGTGCAACAGAGTTACCAGGAAAACAAGTAAAATGAGAGGATAAGATGCTGGCGCTGAGGTCTTTTCAGACTACTGCATCCTATGCTGGAAGTTGTGTCTGCTTTCACATGCTTCCTAGAATACTAGGGGCACAAGGACAGCTGAACAAAAATAAATAGCCTGCTCATTCAGCGAGAGATAGTTGGAGGCTTTGCAGTATGCCATCAGGGAGGTTGAATTCATGTTTTTGCAGCTCAGACCTATTTTCACAATTGAAATACCTCCTAGTTTTGTTTGAGACATGAGGTGAAACGGATGGGTTGTGTATGAACAGACAGCTGAAACACTCAGGCTGTGGGCAGAGGTGTGTGTGCGGTTTGGTACCTGTGCCCGGTGCCTGGCCAGCTGGGTAGTTGTAGCTTGGCACTGCCTGCCTCCGTTGCTTCCTGACTCGGGGGACTTCGGTCACAGCAGGTTATGAAACGCTTGAATCCTGTATCCGTGTAGTGAGGGGGAAATAATACTGTCACAGAGGGAAGGCATGAAAGTGGCACTGATAGGAAGGGTAGGAATTACTGTCTTGGGTATGGGAGGGGATGACATTTAAAAAAAAAAAAAAAAAAAAGATGAAAAACTGAGGATTATAAGCTCCTGGGGAGTTTGTGGTAGGAGTTCTTGCATCTGCTTTCCTCCGAGATGTCTGTGACAGGGACCTGCCTTCCTTAGCCTTACCTCCTGGTTGCTTTTACTTTTCTGAAGTTACCAGAGTGCTCTGAAGTCTAAAGCAGCAGGTCTTTCTGCCCTGAAGAACAATTAACTTTCCTTTTTTTATTTCTGACATAAGGAACAGAAGTGATTATTTGTGCAAGACTTTATTCTACTGTTCAGTTACTGGAGATGAGAAGATAACTTGACCTCTTGAGTGGCACCTGTCTGCAAACTCTTTAGACACTTATATATGAAGTAGTAAGAAGAAAAAGGAAACTTAAATTTGGGTATAGGGAAAAAAAAAACCCGCCACCACAAAAAACATTGGGCTATATACAAATGAAGTGCATATATACATTTGTAGTATGGGGCTTCTGTAGTTCTAATAGCATAGGGGGAAGCAGGGGAAGAAGATGCTTGTTCTACAATAGGGGTGCTCCATGTATAGATTAAGGCACGTATGGGATCTTGGATGAGATCAGTCTTCCTTCAGCTGCATCCTTTGACTTTTGCTTCGGAGTATTTGAACCAGACTACTGTTGAAAGAAAATGTGTAGGCTGCTGGCAAGGCTTTGATATGGGCTGAAAAATTTGGAACAGCTACAGTGCAGCAGCTGTTGCAGTTTTTCAGTCCCTTGCTGAGGAGGCACCTTGTGTTGCAAGGTCAGGTAGAAACTTGGGTAACAAAATATTTGACCTGGAAGAGGAGAATATTGGCTACTGTTAGTCTACACACAAACTTCTAGTGTGTTTTATTCATTACTGAGTTGGCTTAACTTCCCCTAGAGACACTTGTAGTGTCTTTAAAACCTATTAATATAATCAGAAATAAAAGCTTCCTTTAGGTAACTTTTAAAAGCTGTGATTAGTAAATAAGGGAAGAAATACCTTTTAATATATTGAATGAACATAGTAGGGTGCAGAATTGCAGTGTTTAGAATTTCAGAATTTCTAGAAAGTTTTTAAAAGTATGCTTAGTCTTGACTGTCATTCATAGCTATAAAAACTTACCCTAATTAATACCATGTATACATCAATTTTTATCTTGTAGGTATGGGCACATTCTCCCTCAGACTTTTTTCAGTATATTAAAAAAGTAGCATTAGTCCAATGTTTATTTCCTTACTATATGAAGAACATCCCAGGAGAGTACTTATGTTGAATCTGCTAGAAATAACTTTTATTGTTGCCCTCTGTAGCTTGCCCAATATAGCAAATGTGAGATATTTGTTGAGGTTTTATTTTTTGTGTCTTCTGTTTCTTATTTTTTGACACTGCAGAACTTCCTGTATGTTGTGTGGCCCCCCCCCATCTTGATAATTTCAACTACCCATGTAGAAATTTGGGGGGTACATGAAATTTGTACAAGTATTTGTCTGGTTTCTTTTCCAGTGTTGCAGTCAGGATGTGAAATAAAAATAGTAATGCACAGAAATTGCTATTAATTTATAGCAAGTTTCCTTAGTGCCTCAGGTGAGGCTTACATAAACTTACAGCATGTTTTCTATTTTCAACCCAGCTGTGCTAACATATTTTAAAATAGTGTATTTTGAAGGTTTATTTCTTCAATTTGGTTTGAAATATTTTAATAAATATATTCAGTTATGGTAACAGAAATTTGAATGTATCAAAATGGGAGTATAACTAGTCTCATTGTAACGTGAAAACCTAATATCTCATTCATGTAAGTATTTTGGGCTCCTTATAGCAGATATTTAACTGTTGAAAGTGGAGGCCTTGTGACAGAGACTTAAGAGACTCATCTCAAAAAATGCGTGTGTGTATATAAATGGATATGTTAAACAACAAAAAAACCTTTCTAGAGATGTAGAATTAAATGCTTTCTGTTGAATCATGCAAGTACACTGTTGCGTTGTCTTTTATGATAATATCAAGCCAATTAGTATCAAAGAGTAGAGTATACTTCGAGTATAAATTGTTGATTTGGCTTATGAAATTAAGTCATCAAAATACAATACCTTAAAAAGAACAGTTCTCATCTTGTGTTATTTATTCAGAGTCTTTATTGTTTATGCATAGGCTGTATGTGTTTGCTGCAGACAGGATAATCGTGAAGCTAAACGCTAATGTTCTTTGTTTTACAAAAAAGCTTTAAATACTCTACGTATCAAACAACATTTAGACAAAAAATCTCAACTGATTAGATGGATCATACAGGAACTCCAGATCATCTCCCCTCTAGACAAAAGCAGACTGGGTACGATATAAAGCCAGTCAAACACAGTAGTTCCAGTAATGCTGCTTGCCTGATGGGGTCAAACTCCTATTTAGTTTTCCTTCATTAATAGCTTCCTGGATAGCAGCAAGTACTTACGCAGTTAATTAATTCCCGGTTATCAGTGGTTTATATTGGTCAAACTCCTAAAGCACTGCAGAGGAATGAAGTCCCAATTCTAGCAGCCGGTTGTCTGTTAGAGTCACCGGGAGCAAGCTGTGTAACTGGTGAATTAGATGTCTGCCCACGGGGCTGTAGTCAGCAGCCTGTGACAGTGCTGAGAGAGGAAAATGAATTTAACACGCACGTTGCCTCAATTTTTTTCAGACACTGGCCAGAAGAAGACCCCAGACAAGAAAGATGGGCGACGAATGTCTTTTCAAAAGCCTAAAGGGACTATTGAATATTCTGTAAGTTACTGTTTTATTGTTAGAATGTCATTGCATAGCAAGTGCAGACTTAGTTTCATTACAAAATAGAAGCAAAACAGTAATGTGCGTTACCTTTCATCTTAGAATTCTGTGTATCTGATAGCTTATTTTAACAGGAGTTAAATCTGGAATTAGGTATTAGTACTTGAGTAATGCTTTTTAAATTTGTTTTTCATTTTTTTTAAGTTACTTTTTTCTTTCAAAAAACCAACCTAATCAGTCTGACTGGTTCACTTTTAGGTAACTAGTTAGAAACAGTAAATTACATTAATTATAAAATCATGTGCAAGTTCCTTGCTTTCAGCATTATTAATAAACTCTTGGCATCAGGAGAAATAACAGAATGAAGTTGGGGGGAACTATATCTTGATACTGACCTTCTGGCATTCTCATAATTTTCATAGATCTATACCTTTTACTGTACAGATCTGTTTCTGCAGCAGTATCTGAAAATGGAGACTTTCTCTGCCTGTTCTGTTCTTGAAATGACCCTCAAACTGTACTGCAGTCAGCTTTTCACATTTGTGGTTACTAAGGGAAACTGAAGTGAGAAGTATCTGTCTTGTGTTATATACTGGAAAGATAATTAAGCCTATAAATAATGCTTAGAGGGTTTACATTAAAATAGGGAAAGTCTGTCACAGTTATCTTTGAATGCTTTTGAAGCTGGACATGATAAAATAAAAATGAGATCTTCTTTATAAAAAGTCTTTACATGGCCTCTTGATGTTCTCTTATTCCAAGAATAAGAGATATGGGGGAGACTTAACTCTTGATGTTATATTAAGCCAAGCTGTGATATGGCTTAAATACTGAGAAGGCTGTGATAGTTATTTGGGGAGAGGCAGAGGATGTGTGTATAGGAGCAAGAAGCACTTTGTTAGTGTGGCTTATATTGAGAACTCAAATTATAGTTCTAGCCTATACTAAAGACTTCCTTGAAGTTGAAATTAAAAAAAGAATGAAATTTTTGCTGCTTAGGTTCTAGCAGCTGACGAATAGTTAAGTAAATGTGACTGTTGTTTCTAATACATTAACCCCATTTTGTCTGAAATAATTGGAAAAAATACTTAAGTGTAACTCTGAAGTTGGGATTCCTCTTTGGTCAGTAAATCCGTGAACTTGTCTCTTGCCAGCATGTGCATGCCCTTACCTTGGTGTGTAAGATACCAGGCAAAGCTAAAGCACCAAGCTTTACTTTTTTAAATTAGTATGTTTGTGTCAAGTTGGCAAGTACTTCTGCAGGTTTTTGTATTCCAGTAGGTGGGGATTTAGTTGCAAAAATAACTTTCTTAATACATACTGAAGTATGTGTCATTTCCTTGTGAGTCAAAAAGACGATTCACAAGAATCAAAGACTTTCTGTCTTTAAACTTAGTCTTGCTTCTAAAGGAGTCTGTGTGTATGGAACATGGTACTTTTCAGCTTCACAAATGCAGTATTCTGTCTGGTCTTACTGTATCTTCACTCCTGAAGCATTTAAGTAACATCAAGTTTTCAGAGCTGTCAGTTATGTTGTGCACATATGTCTTAAGAAAATACACAGATTAACCTTACAAACCAAGGTTATGTTCACTATATGTGTAAGAGAGGTCTGGTAACTGTTGTGGTAATTTGCTATTGTTACTATTTGTGACTTTATACCATGTGGAGAGATGAGCTTATGTCTGGTGTACACACACATATTTATATGTTGGCATGTGTTGCTGCTTTGAGTAGTAGAAGAATGAAGACAAAAATCTGATTCCTCCTCAGTACTGTTGAAAAGTTAGTGGAGTTTTTTGCTTTGTTTTTTAATAATAATTTAATGCATTTTTGCAGTGGCTACGTGGCTTTAGGACAAAAGGTCTTTTTCTTCCTGAAGTTTAGAGCGAGATGGAATCTCACTGATGCAAACAATGGTTTTTAAGGTGAAATACACTTCCCACTAGAATTTTTTTTAAAAAAGAAAATCATTACTTTGGGGACAAATAAACAGTAAAACATATTTTTCTCTTTAAAGATAAAGCCAAAAGGCAGTTAATGTTAAAGATTTTTATTCTAAAATTACCAAAGCATAAAACAGTGGAACTACTGTTCTGTGTGTAGCACCAGCAACATGTCAACAGATGTGGTACTAAGTGAAGGAAGCAAGTCCTAAGCTTACTCAGGCTGGTAGGTTTAAAAGAATGTCACTAAGTTACTTTTCAGTAACTGCCTCTAAAGGATACAGAAAACTCTGGTTTATTTTCACTGTTACTGCTTAGACAGTGAACAGATGATTTTTAAGTTAATATAGTTTCTGTTATTCTGAATGTCAGTGAACAGATTAGATGCAAATTGATATCATCCATTATTTCAAAGTTCGTAGTTGGTGCTCCGAGCCAATTGTTTTCCCCTTCTGCACACATCTAATGCCTGTGAACAGGCTCTAAGGACCAACAGAGCAGATAACGTGAATTATTCTTACTAGCTGGAACTCTTACTCCTTTTTATGTTGTGAAAATAGCATTTTTATGTTGCTTATTTGACATTCTGTTTCTGTTGCATTAGAAGTATTTTGTGTTGCTTGTTGTACAAACACAGCCAGCGTCTGGCTACAGGTGTTAGAAGAGCCAGCTACAGATAAATAAAGGAGCATAAGCAGACAGTGTTGAACCACTGATCACCAGTGATGCTAGCCTGGTAGCAGTTGCAGGACTTCAACAAAAGCCTTCTAACCCCTCTTCCTTTTGAGGAGAAAAAGGAAATAATTGTGGCTATTTACAGATAGTTTATTCTCAAGTACAATAGACTATACAAGAAAAAGCACTTTTTGTTGGGGGGAAAAAAAATAAAAATTACGGGTGAGCAATGGAGGCAGATGATTTGGTTTATCCATGTTGGAGCCTCCAGTGTAAGACTTCCCTTCCCCTGCCCCACTCCTTCCCCTTTACCTCTCTGGGGATTGAGGGCTATGCTCTTCTGAAACAGCAGATAAGCACATAACACAGAGTATGTTGTCTAGATCATGAGAAGAGCCTGATATCAGTTAGTGAAGGTGACGTGAGTGTGTAGTACACCAGAGTCTTAAGACTGTGTTTTAAGCCAGAGTCTTCAGTGTAGAACTACCAGTCTTCCTGCATGTGATCTTTTACCAGTTATTTAGTGGTAAGTCCTACATCTGGAATCTGGGTCTGGACTCTCTTTTTTGTTTTACTTAGAAACTAGTTAGGTATGTATACTGAGAACAAAACTACGGGGGCTTCTGAAGTCAGCTTCTTAAGGTAAAACAGAGAGGAATTTCTGATCCTTTCTTAGCTGAAGGGATGTGGGTAGCAAGTGTTTTTGTGGTGACCATCAAACAGGTAAAAGCTTGCTAGACTCCAAACCTGCATGAATACTTGGAATTTCTTGTTGTAATGACTTGCTGAACATACTTATTTTGAGAGCAGAGAAATGGTGAGTATCTGCTAGTATCTTTCTAAAATAATTGTATTTTGCTTTCAGTCCTAGGGTAGCTTGGATTGGGAGTGCTAAAGATTCTCTCACTGGTGTAGCTAGTTTTATTGCCATTGTAAGCTTTTCCATGCTGTTTAGACTGCTACATACTTAAGAGGTTTTACTTTTTTCTTGGTGCTTCCATTTCAAAGCCAGGGATTATGTTCTTGTCTGACTGTTGCTTTTCTTTGAGCGTGCCACTGTCATAGTCTTTTTCCCAATTTGGGGGAATTTAGAAAATGTGGATCATAATGGTGTCATACTACTTTCTGGTGTATCTTTTGTCTTATTTTAAAAGATTTTTGGAGTTGTTTTTATGATATTTACAAGTTCAGTTTTCCTGATTTTGCATATTACAGAAATTAGACCTATTAACAATTAGTTAATACAGTCATCATCTGATATTTCTGAAGGCTTGGGTGCAGCACCAAAGTTGTGTTCTCTTTTCCCCTTTGTCCTCACCCTTCCTTCCAGTCTTCCCATCTCTTTAATTTTGTCAGTTCCTTTTAATACTCTTAAACCATTGTTTTGTTGTTTGCTGGTTCTTGGACAACTAGTCTTGAAATATGTAAAAAAAAAAAAAAAAAAAAAAATTTACTTCATTCTTTGTGCACTCTGATTCATATATATTCAATGTATAGTTTTTAGTGGAAGAACAAGTGAACTCCAATTGTTGAGATGCAATGACAGTAAAGTTCAATAAAATATCAGTAGAGAATTTGGCTTTAAATAAGGTTTTTAAATACCTTTGCCAGCTGCTAAACTGACAGAAACAAAAGCAGTTTGAACCATAGCCAGTGGTGACTCTGAAGCTCTTTGCTGGTGCACACAAGCACACCTGGCAAACGTGGGTCTATAAGTAGTGCTCTGTAAGTGGAAAAGGGGTAATGGCATGTACCTCTGCTGAAATGGGGGGGACACAGTGATTTGAAGAGGGTATTTAATTTTGGATTTTATTGGAAAAGGAAGATGGAAGGTGTAGCTCTTTCTGTATCTAGTCATAGCTAAAATCAGGTTTTACAGATAACTTAGAATTTTAGACTTACTTGTATACATATGTGACTACATAAGGCAGAAGTAACTAGGTAGCAGGCCTTATGCGTCTTACCTCTACATAAGACAGTTGATGACTAGAAGCTCTTGCTACTGAGTATAGGAAAGCTTATATTTTAAGAAGCTGTTTTTCAGCAGAAGTTATTGTACAAAGCAGACTTCGTGTGCGTTAAGTTTAACGCCATCCTGACTGTGATTCTTGGGTTTTTTTACATTTTCATTAATCAGTGTCTTTCAATCTTTATACTCAAGGCAGTATACTGAAGGTAGCAAAGCCAATGCATGATATGTATTGACCTACTTCAAAGCACCAACTGGCCTGCTCCAGGTCCATTTCAGATTCTTTCAGGGAATGAAATAGTGTTTTCACATGTTTGGTGGTTGTGTTTCAGAGGTTTACTTGTATTTGTACAAATCTTGCTATTCTGTTGAAATCTTGAAACAATGTAATCACTGTTCATCATCCCTCTCCTTAAAAGGGGGAATTTTCCCATGATGATTGGCATAGTGCTTTAATATCAAAATATTTATATAAAATTCATAATAAACAGAATAGCATTTAAATAGCTACTTGGATAATGTATAGAAAGTTTGTTTCCTGGGAAAGAAGGAATGACTTTGTCTTTTCTTCCAGTATTGAACTGCTGTGGAAAAAATAATTGGAAAAGCTAGGGGTCAGCTGTAGTATGTGGTGGCATGTTTTTCTGTGTTAGTTCTTAAATTAAGATTTTCCACAAAGTTGTTGTTTCACCGTTTGGCAGTTCAGATTCTGGTTTGGTTTTTTTTTTCTTTTGTTTTTTTTTCTAAATACTAGAATGCACGAGAATTGAAGAATAGGCCCTTTGAATTTAGGGAGATACTTCAGGAAGTCTTTATTACTTGAAAATTTTCTTTAAGAAGATAGCAGTGCTGGTCTCTGAAATCCCATGTAGTGTGGGGATTCACCTGTGCAAACTTCACAGCCAAATAAGAAAAGGAAGCTTATATTTGCTGTTGTGTTCATAATTTAAGGAAACCCTTTTGTTGCGAAGACATCTTGCTAGATGGTTTTATTTCTTAAGGCTGGTAAGAGTGAATACACTCTTAAAGGTCTTAAGTTTTGTGGGTTTTAATTGAATGTTTTTAATTTTGTATCATAAGTTAGTCTAAAATCTCCAATATTTCACTCATTAAGTCATACCTCAGCAAAATCTACCTAGCAGCTGACCATTGTCCTCCAACAAACTTCTGAATTAGGCAAAGTTTTGAATCTCACTTTAAAGTTTATTTTAGCAAACTTTCTGTATTATGTAGAGCTGCTGATGGCAACACTACTGTTCTTTGATTTGTTTGTCAGTTTTGTTACCACGTGTGGAACAAGAAGTACTTATCTGGTCGGGTTAGGTTCATGTTTTGATGGCAGCTTTAGTACCAATTAAAAGTGGCATATGAGAATATTCTTATTTCTTGCATATCTGTGTGATCATACAGTATTGAGTTACTAAGAGGTACAACAATACGGTCTTTCATACCTGATATACCAGTAGAAAGAGAATTGCTGCTTTATTTAGCTTAAAGGCTTCCTATGTAAAGAATTGTTATAATAGAATTAGAAATTTATCTATTAAAAAAACCTTATTGCCATTTCTTTAGTGAATCTAGGCTGACAAATGCACCTTTACAAATTGATAATGAATTCTGTGTGGAATGGAATTCTGTGTGGTTCACTCTTACTTGTGAACCTTAATTATTTCAGTATCCCAAACTTCCCTCTATTTTTATCTGTTGAACTGTAACAGCCTTCAGAGTACATGATATTTGCAGCACTTTTTCTTGCCGGACAACCCATTTCTGTATTTAAAGGATATAGTTTGTTTCTTTGTATCTGTCAGTTGCACTTTTTCCATTCCTGTACTGTCAATGTGTGTTCCTTAACATGACGTAACTTTTTGAAAAAAGTTAATAGAAAGCATTCCTTCCCCTAAATTGTTTTGGGGCTAGCGTTCTGTTCAGTGTTCAGTTTTGGAACATTTAGGTGGGAATGCATTTTGAGGAACAATTATTTAACTTTTTATATACTACTTTTGCTTTGCAACCAATAGGAACTCTGCCAGCTAATATCACAGTGCAAATAAGATGTATTAAAATATTAAATATTTAATCAACTAATACTATAACCTGCAGATACATATTCTTCCCCTCTGGCAAAATGTTTTCTGCTTCTGTGAAAGAATGAATGTGCCTTGTTGTGTTCCACTGACAGCAAAACATGTAATGCTTATTAGTTATATGGAATATACTAATTCAACTGGAACAGTCCACATGATACAATAGAGTATGGCTCGAAGCAGGCTAGCCCCATGTATGCTTTTACTTGCCTCCACCGCAGTGTGGTTGCAGAAATAGTGTTTTAGTCTTTTGGTTCCGAATGCTGCCTTTTTCAGTGTGACTGTGTAACATCAAGGTCTACTCTCAGAGCAAGCAGTACCAAAAGCTATTAAACAATGTATTTGCTGAGACTTTTCCTTCTCTCCCCTCAATCTTTTTTTTTTTTTTTTCTGCCCCTCAGAAATTCAAGCATTCAGTCATAGAAGCAGAAGTAAAAGATATCTACCTTTAAATCTAGCAACAGTTGACGAGGCTCCTGCATTTTTGTTAAGGTAGTGAGTGAAGACTAAAAGATACCGAGTGGGTATGCAGAGTCAGCTGGTGATATCCACTGGCTTTCTCAAAACTGTTGTGTGTAGAACATACACTATGAAGAAAAACGTGGTTTTAGCTTTCACTTTTCCCCCCTTTCCTATTTTTTTCCCCCTTGAAAAGTAAGAAAAGGGAATTTAAAAGTGAAAGCATTCTTTTCTGTTACTGTCAAGAAAAGTTAAAGTGAATAATCTGAAAATAGAAGGAAAACTAAACCTGTGAATAATTAGTCTAATACTTACACCTTCCTCTCCATATAAATAGCATAACTTCTGCAGATGTAATAAGAGGGACAAATGAGAAGACATTTAAGACAGGAGTCAGTAGATTCTATTTTTTCTAGCTGTGCTCCATATTAAGCAACACAAATGTAGCTTTGCTAATATTGCTTCATCTTCTATTAACTGACAAGATTTATTTTTTTGTGGTACAGTGTTTATGAAGCCCTGTGCCATTATGCAGTAAACTTCTCTTGGTTGTATACTCCTTTGTCATATCATCTTCACTATTCTCAAATGCTTGCTATGAATTCTTTATTTTGAAATACTCTGTGAATAATTTTTTTTCCTTTGCTTTCTTCTCTTAGTTCATATTGAATACATTTTGGGAGATGGGGGTAAAAATAAGAGCTTGAAAAAAATCCTTTCCTTCCTCAGGAATCACCTACTCAAAATGCTTATGTTCCATCTGCTGTCATACTGGTTGACCTGTTTTGCTTCAGTATTTTTACTTTGTATCTCAGTGATGGATTTTCCTTGTAAGTCAGATTAACAGAAGCTTGTTTCAATAGGAAGAGAATGTGTTCGCTTTTATAGAGATTGCTTCAGCTTTTCTCTAAGTGAAGAACAGAAAAGCGGAGTTGAAGAGGGAGACTGAAGGGCTTTGTGAAACCAGTTAATCGTGTATTGGGTACCCAGCAGTGAATGTATAGACCAGATGTTCTGGTGCAATAGCAGAGCCTACAGCCTAGTGTATGTGACTGACACTTCTGGCCACCTGGAAACATTGTGGGAAGGCAGGTGTCCTTACATGGGGTGGCAATACACTGATATTTAGGGGGTAGGTATGTTTTTTGGTTTGGGGTTTTTTTTTTTTCTTTTTGGGGCAATCATAAGATATGAAGACTTAAAGTTCACTAAAATCTCAGTAAAGCTACATGTGATAAAATTTGTAAGTCACTATTTGAACTAACTGCTCACAGGTTTGTTTTTCTTTTTCTCCAATTGATACAGGTGGAACCAAGAGATACTTTAAACAGTATTGCCTTGAAATTTGATACAACACCCAATGAACTGGTTCAATTAAATAAGCTTTTCTCCAGAGCAGTCGTTCCTGGACAGGTACTATTATACTATGTATGTCACTTATCCAACAAAGACCTTTTTCCCTATATTTCTCATCTCTACCAGAGAAAGTGTTAAAGTACTTCTCTTACTAGTTTTCCTATTGACTTTGTAAAAGAGTTTTTTTTCATTTTTCTTTAGTTTGTGAATTCTTTGTGCTTATTAAATGACTACCTAGAAAGGAAACATGTAATGAAGCTATTGTCTCTTATTTAAGATCAGAGGACTTTTAAAACTAAATATACTTAATGATATAATAACACTTGGTTACAAGCTAAATTGTTACTTTGCAAATATAGCAGGCTATTTACCAACTCTAACTCAGAAGACAAATTCAAGGTACAGCTTACAAACAACATTCCTGAGTGTATATTACTGCCTTCAATTCTATTTTAATAAATTGAATAATGTTTCTATTCCACCTTGAAAACTTGCTGTCTTTACCAGCAGTATATGAGCTATCACTCACTTCTTAGAGGTTCCTTTTGCTAACAGCTTTTTCTTTCCCTTTTTTTGCCTTCACTTTCTACTTCTTTTTGAAAGCCAGCCTTGGAAACAAGTGATGGGTCAGCTACAGTATTAACCTTTGGCCATTTGGTATTAGCCTTCTGTTTGAAGAAAATCCTGTGTTTATTTCTGATTGCTGCAAAACTTTGTCTAGGTAGCTTGAATGCCTGCCATGGCCAAATTAATATATTTAAGGCATTAATAACCCCAGTTGATAGTTTTTTGTTTTGTGGGTTTTTTTTTTTTTAACATTCAGTGCTAAGAGCTATGTCTATGAACTTGTTCCACAGCCTGTTTCTTGATTGCTCAAATGGAGTAATAGCAGGAGAAATAATTGGGCAGGTCTTCCTTGGACACTGTATTGGGTGTTTCTGGCATGCTGTATATTTTTAATGCTTTCTATCTGAACTTTTTCCTCTATTATGACTAAAACTCAATCTTATCTCACAATAGTATTAAAATACTTTAAAAGCTAACCTTAAAAAGTACTTTGTGTGGTATTGTTTATTCCCTCAACTAATAATTTCTGTTAAAATTCATGGGAATAGGAATGATTTTGCATAGCTTATTTTGAGAAATCATAGCAAATATACCCCAACTGGTGGGAAATCTAAAGTAAACCTGAAAGCATGAGTTCTAACTACATCATATCTTCTTTATAGATTTTGTATGTTCCTGACCCAGACTACATTTCTAGTGTGGACAGCTCCCCCTCTCTAAGTCCTATAAGTCCCCTTTCACCTACATCTTCCGAAGCAGAGCTTGACAAGGCTACAGTAAATGTAGGTATACCTGTTGTCCTTGAAATTAACTTTCCCTTAAAAGAGAAGTGTTACAGGTGCTATGCTTTCTTCTTAAACTATGCTTTCATTTTGGGGAGAAAGTACTTTACAACACTTAGAGTTGAAAAGTGAAATAGTGCCTTTTAAAAAAGTAAATACAAGCTTTTAATCTTTGCAAATGACAGTTTTCTCTGTGAAAACTGATTTGAAGGCAAGTTGTTTGTAGCAAAATACTGTCCTTGCGCACTGAAATCTTAAACACTAGTTCCTGTTGCATTTCTGTATGTTACCTTTCAGAACTAGTTAAACATCTGTCTCTAATCTTATTGATAGCTTTTTGTAGCAATGATAAACTGGCAAGAATACTCGAGTAGCTAAAAGGTAAGGTCTCCCCCACTCCCTGTAGAGGGGCAGGAGGGGATTCTCTAGCTTCATTTAGCAAAACTAAGTAAAGGGAAAGAAGTCTGTTTCAGTGAAGGGCTAATGCAGAGCTGATTATAGCTGACTTCTACTCAGTAGTTCTACTTTTGTAGACTTTCAAATACCAAAATGTTTTAACCATCGAATCTGCTCTGTAATTCAGCTTGAATGTAGATTGATTTTTTTTATTTTATTTTTTTTTGCTAGGAGCTAGCTTTGTAAAAGCATGTCTTTCTAGGAACACTGGTTTGCTGTCAACAGAATTCTGTAGAGGGAACTGCAACCAGGAAGATGCAGTATCAGAGCCTGAGCTCCTCTGCAATTTATGCAATTATGACCATATTCAGATGTTTCTTAATATGTCACTCTTGTTTTTCCAGTTATTATCTTTTCTCTCAAATAACAAATTTTCTTGATAGCACTTCTTCATAGTGCTCAGTCAAGCTGTCAAATGTCTATTCCAAGATTCTGTGTGCTCAAAGTTTAAGAAGGTTTGAGATTTTAAACATTTATTTACTTGCTTGCATGACTTGGTCCAGAGAAGTTAAATAGAAGGGTATTGCTTTGTTGCTGAATAGGTTCTCAAGCTGCATTACAAAGGCTGTGATGACCCTTCTACTGAACATTACTATTTGGTTTTGTTGTTATCTTTACTTCGACTCTAGTATGCCTGTTCTCGTGAGGTGTCCGCTGTCATTTGTACTGAATAATTTCTTTTTTGTTTTATGGCAAACTGAAGGTGTTGTAGCACAGTAAATAGACTAGTCTGCAAGAATACATTTTTCTATATTGGTCTCAGAATGACTGTAAATGCTAGGATAGGCCTACCCATATAGCATATGTGGTGAGAAGTTACTCAAGGGAAAATTGTTAGGTTTACTGCTAGAAATTAGAGCTTTTCCTAGAATGCACTAGATCTCATGTCAGAAAACTACCTTATTCTTGCTTTTGTGGATTATTTTATATGTGATTGTTTGCATATAGCAGATAAGGAGGCTTAATAGTGTAACCATGCCTGTAATTTATTTGAAACTTTTTTATTGATTATATGCACATAGCAGAGATAAGAGCTTGAAAGTGTAGAAGAAACAATGTAGATTAAAATATTTTAAAAGTGAAAATCCTCTTACGCAAGAGGTTGTTTGGTTTAGTGTAGGCAGTTCAATGTTAGCAACAACGTGTGTGTTAAATTTCATTTAACTGACAGTGTGGTGTTGCACAAATATTTTGTGCACCTCATTACATGTCATGGATCACTACAGTTCTTAAATACTTCGGGTAAAGTCAAACAAGCAATGTGACAATATATAATAAAGTGTTTATGGAAGTTTCTGATGTCTTTTGAAGTACATGTAAGGAGGGAAGGTGTGTTCCTAGGTACAGTTTTTCAAAAGAAAGTGAAGAGCAGAAGTCACTTGCACTTGTCAGCATGGACTCTCTGTGTGTTTGTGTTTGGTTTTGTTTTTCAGTCTCTCCAACAATGCAAAAAGCACTCAACTTCTATTTAAGCAGTTATGGCTGAACAATTTTGTTTGTCATCATAGCACCTGTTTTCTTTGTTTCTTTTTTCTGTCTTTGATTGCTGTCTTTATGAATGAGAATATGTTTTCTAATGCTCTGTATTGATGTCCATCTGTCTTTGACTTTCCTCCAATTTTGACTCCAGATTTGCAGTATAAATTTAAGCACATCTCGAAGTAGTGAGTGTATGTTACTCTGTGTGTATAACTTAAAGGGGTCTATGCTGTGTTCTGTGATGATTGAAATTGATGAGTTCTTGCTAGAAATTGAATAAGATAACTAACCAACATCTGAACCTCTGTTGAGGCAAAATATAAACTATGATACTCTCTGTTCTTTTGTTTCTGTTTTGATGAAACATTGGCGTAGCTTAACACAACTACGTGGTTAAATACACACCAGCATGTGGCTAGTATAAGACCTGCATAACCCTGTTAAGTTGGGTTTTTTATGTTGCTACACTTAAGCTAAGATTTCAGTGTGTTTTCAATAAGTTTGTTACTGTGTATGTAAGAACTTGGCTTAGATTTTTAAGCCTTATGCTGCTGGGTTTTGTGAAGAGTTTCCTCATTCAGCAGTGTGATGTGCATATTTAAGAAGATCCAATAAGCTTTACTACCTATAAAACTTAAAATCCACTTCAAAATAATATGTAATGACAAGACTGTCATCATTAAATTTGAAAGTCTGCCACCAGTATTATTCCTGCTTCTATGCCACATGACAGTATGAATGAGAAATAGCTGGCTTATTCACGGTGGACTTTGGTATCAGCTGGGGACTCTTGCAGCCACTTGCTAAGTTATATGCATCACAAAGATTTTTAGGAGAAAGGCATATATAGAAGGAGAACTCGTCTCCAGGAAGTTTGCTTTTTAGTTATCTTCATTACCTTTTTCAGCGAACTTTAGTTCAGTGTTCCGTAAGTTGTTTGGGGTTTTTTGTTTGCTTTCTAACTAAAATGGAAAGATGCACGCAAAGGCTAAAGTAGTGCTAGAGAGATGATGAACTGAAAACAATCGTGCATAATGTTCCTGGATATGTGATTAAAGGCATTTAGCTGCAATCTGTACTAGTGAATAGAACTGCACAGAAAAGCAGAAAACCGAAGGGAACATAAAAGTTCACATTTTTTATAAATAGTAATATTTTATTAGTAACTAAAAATAGCAGTTATGTATGAAATGGAAGCCTTTAAATGTTGGTTAAGCCCCAAAATAGGGTTGCTGTGGCTATAAAATAGGCTTTGGCGCAGTCCTTCTACTATACAGGTAGCTTTTATTTGAAAACATTTTCTCATTGTCTGTCCTGTCCCTGGTAGGGTTCCATGTTCACTAATTTGTTGGATGTACAGTTAGACAGCAAGATAGATAAGTCTTCCAGTTATCTGCTCAGGAAGGTCATGAAGGAAATCCTCTAGAAGTTATATCCAGGTATATGAAAGGCAAAGATGGTTGGGAACAGCCAGGGTGAACTTACTATGGGCATATCATGCCTGACCAAAGTGATTGCTTTCTGTGATGAGATGACTGGCTCAGCAGATGAGGGAAGAGCACTGCATGTTACTTGCCTTAATTAGAGCCAGGCCCCTGACGCTGTCCCAAAGCAGTCTTGTTAAAGCACTGGGGAAATGTGAACTGAATGGGTGGACTACAAGATGGGCTGGAAAAATTGGTAGGATTTTGGGGCTCAAAGTGATTCAGCATTTGTATGTGTGGCTGGTTATTTTTATTGATTGTTCTTCTGTGGTGGTGGAAGGTTAGGACTCCTTGAGGGTCCCTGTTGGGACTAATCCTGTTTATAGTCTGCCCATAAGTGACCTCAATGTTGGAGCAGAGGACAGAATGCACTGTCAGCAAGCTTGGGGGTGGGGGACAGCAAAAATGGTAGAGAAAGTAGTCAATACACTGGAGGGAAGAGCAAGGGCTATTCATCAGAGGGACATCAAGAGTCTGGAGAAATGAAGTAACAGAAACCTCATGAAGTTCAACAACAGTTAAGACCTGCCTGGGACAGAAAGCCCATATGGCAGTGCGGGGTGAGCACTGGCTAGCTACATAGCAGCTTTGCAGAAAAAGAGCCAAGGAGAGGTTGAAGCTAGCGTCCTGGTGGAGGTGTTGAACAATGTCCACTTGTGATGGTGAAGGCTAATCACGTGCCAGGTGGCAGATGAAAGAAGAATACCTACAGGTTAAGGCTAATGATTATTCCCCTGTTTGGGGGGCTTGTGAAGCTGCATTTGCAGTGTGTCTACTTCTGGCACTTCCAGTACAAGACAAAGATTGGTTGGAGAGATTCCAGTGGAGCACCATTAACATGATCAGGGAATGGAAACATATGAGGCACAAGGATTGGCTGAGAGTGCTGGTTTGGTGTTTTGGTTTTCTGGTTGTTTTGGTTGGTGGTTTTTTTTTTTTGTCTGGAGAAGAAAATACTGATGGACAACCTCATTTCTCTGTTGCACTGTCTCTGTTGCAATCTGTCTGCACCTAGCAGACAAATTGGAGGAGCAGAGTTGGGGTCTTCAGAGGTTCGTAATAAAATGATGGGCAGCAACAGCTGCATGTTGCTGCCTGAGGGGTCCTGATTAAATAACAGGAAAACGTTTTTCACCATAAGGGTGGTTAAACACTGGAGCAGGTTTCCTGGAGATGCTGTGGAATCTCCAGCCTTGAAGACTTAAACCCAACTGGAAAGGCCAAGAGCAACTTGATCTAATGTAGTCTTACGTCTGCTTTGAATGTAGTGTTGGACTAGCTGACTTTCCAACATAGTGTATAGTATTATGGAAGGGTAACAGAAGACATTTAATAGGACTTCTGTTGAAGTTAGAAAATAATCAGTTCTGCTAACTTCTGCTCAAATTTTGTAGTGACAGTTTCCTTATGTGAGTTCTGATCATTTTGTTGTTTATTCCCAGGTTGATTCTGAATGTCTTTGCCCACTTGCATTTCTTATTATGGGCTTGTTAAATTGTGCTTCATTAGTTATATACAGTCAGATCAAAGCAGTCCTTTAAACTGCAGTGGATTTGGAGCCCTATTTTTACATTTGCTTTCATGTCAAAGAAAAAGAACAAAAATTACACAACAGAAAATCCCTTAAAAGTTAATATTGAAGAAGGCAAGTTGCTAAGTTCTTTTTTTTTTTTATATTCCCTTTTAGGATCCAGATGGAATCCAACAGAAAGAGTCAGCTGCTTCAGCAGCACATACATGTGTTCGTCCTACAAGAGTGGTATCATCCACCTCCGAAGAAGAGGAAGCATTTACAGAGAAATTTCTAAAAATTAATTGCAAGTACATCACTAATGGCAAGGTACTTAAACATTCAAGTTTTACTGTTACTGTATAGGATTTAAAAATAAAGTACACTTAAACTATAAACATATAGTAAAATTTAGTTACTGATCGGTAGATTAATCAGCTTATATGTATATAAATATATTCTTTTTTTTAATTCACAGTTTGCTTTGAATTCCCAGACCACTTGTCTTGGACAGGACGAAAGCAGTTAATATGCAAATAAGCTGTGACAAAGTTCCCTGTGGCTATACTGTTAAGTGATTCTCTTGTGTTGAGGGCATGAGGTCTATTTGTTCCTTATGTTAGTATCTCATCGTAATTCTCTTTACTTACAGTAGAGAAGAATATACCTTAAACTATAAGGAAATATGTAGTTAGGTAGCTTCATTTCTGTTTTCCCAAAGCAGAACAGTGCAAGCAGAATTAACCTCTGATTCTGTAAACAAACACTTCTATATTGGGTATAGTATAGTAGAAATCGTGATTATTTTTTCTTTTTTGTTTCTTTGAAGTAGTAGTTACAGTTCTCTCTCTGTCATTACACAAATGCCTCCAAGTTAAATGATGCTTAATTCCATTCAGCTCATAGGCACACAAGTCTTGTGCAGATTGTTAGGGACTGAGATCACTTCAAAAGGCTTTACCTTAGAATGCTTTAGGAAAAAACCCAAAATTTATTGCTTTCCCACCACACAGAAAAATGACTATTAAATACTTTAATCATAAACAATCATGCTTTCACTCAAGCAGAATGAATGCAAAAAAAAATCAAAGTATTCCTAGTAGCTCTTCCTTCACCTGAAGTTTAGGTATGTATATACAAATATTGCTGATTCTGTGTTGCTCAGCAATAGGTTTGAAGATAAGTTCAATGATAAACAAATTAATGGGAATCTCCTGAAACTGCATTAATTTTTTTCTTGTAGAAAGGATTGCACATCTGCGTATATCTAGACTTGAAGCCTTTTGACAGTATGTGTATATTGGCAAAAGCTGTGTGTTAGAAGTTGGTAAGACAAGTACTAGAAAAGCTTTCTTTGTTACTTTGTTCTACTTTGCAGTTAATTTGCTTCACTCCTTGCATTGTCCCTAGGTGATTTTTTTTTTTTTTTTTTTTTTTTTAGGTTGAGCTTAGACATGTCATTACTTCTTGGTTTTAAGTGCTATGATGTGGAGGAATTGAGAACTGTGAGCCTCTGTTAGAAATTGACTGTACTGGAAAAATATAATCTAGGGTTAAAACTTACAGCATATTATTTATGTGCTGTAATTCTCATCAGAATATTATGGGGAGTGTTCACAGCATCTGTCTTTGACTTTTTTCAGCCTATTTTCTAAGGGCTTCAAGGAGAATTCTGTTTCTAAAAAGTTATATAAATCTACTGCAGTATCAGCCCATACATGAGGAGATGGGTGGGGAGAGAAATGAATACTAACTTGCTCAGATTTGAGTGCCAGATTTCATAAGTTTAGCATGTAATTTAGCCTTTATGTCACATGTGGTAGGAATGTTCTCTGGCATGTCGTCTTGTCTTCTCCTTGATCCATTTCCTGATGATGCAGGATGATAAATTTGCTGGAGAAAGCTTAAAAGATCATCTTCTGCTTCCCAGTCTGGAAGTGATTTTGAAGTTCATTAACTGCTTTATAGGGCTTCAGATGTGAAGTCTCAGTCATCACTGTTACTGATGCTCATAAACTAAAATCTAATGAAAGCCTCTTCAATGTGTTTAATCTCACATATGCAAAAGTTGCAAGGTAAGAATTGTCTCATTTCTCAATTTTCAGAGAAAATTGTTTATTCTGCATGTGTTTGGAGTTGGTTTTAGTCACACCTGTGACTTCCTGGACAAGCACACAGGAATTCTCCAAGATGCAGTGGCTGGGACCTGGAAACATTTGTTCTGTTACAGTATTTGCTCTCTGTTGTCTTGTTATGGCTCCTCTTAGAGGCAGGGTGCTGGGCACAGTTAGAAACAGGGTGGTGTGAATATGCCACATCCTGGTCAGATAATAAATCAGTGCAGAGTAACCAGTGTGCGGCAGAGTCACACCTTGACTCACTGTTTATTGCGTATGTAGGCATGCCCTTTCTTGCAGCCACACTGTTTGCTTCTTTTGTAGAAAATTATCCTACTCTGTTTTTTTCATTCTTTCCACTGTTCGCTGGAGGCAGGAAAAGGTATCTTAAACAGTTTGCTTGACTGGAACCAGTAGAGGAGCTTTGAATTTCTTTGTTTTTTCTTATGCTTGCTAGTATACTTGCCTTGTTTTGAAAAGTAGAAGGTAAAGGAAAAATACTAATGCTAAGGCTTAAAAAGCACTCACCAACCTGGAAATACGGGCACAAAAAGCACAAACGCATTGTTCATGAAATAAAAAGGAGCACACTGATATTCCAAGCTTCTACAGCAAACAAAGAATAACACTAAATTACGAAGCTTTTATCATAAAGATAACAAATTGTGAATTACAGTTTTTGTTCTATCCTGCGTGTTCAAGAACATAATGGAATTATTTAGAGGTAACTTCTGTTGAAAAGTGCTTGTCAGAAGTCCTCTCAAACCTTAAAAATGTGTTTTACTGTACTGCGTAATCTTAATGTTTGAGCTCACCAATGTCATAAAGTTTGGCTCTAACCCTGCCTCTATCATGATTGGATTTCTCTCTCAGATATTGTGTAGGATTTAGAGCTCCCACTTCCTGAGGATTAAGGAATTGTAATGGAAAGAAGTTAAAACTGATTCAGAATTGAATATCTGCATGCAGGTGCAGTTTAATCTACTTTCAGTCTGCATGCTCTTGCCTATCTGGACCAACTATTTTTCTGGACCAACTATTTTTCTGGACCAACTTTAAGACTGAAGGGATCTATTTTCAGTAACCTGGTGTGTCCACATGGTTTTCAGTAATAAAGTGGCTTGGCGTTTCTCCATGAGGCTGTTAAATCTGAACTTCACCTGATTAGAAATTTACTTCATGTTTTTAAGAATCTGTCTTACGTATAGGAAATTCTACTTCTACAAGTGGTGTTTTGGGGATTTTTGTTAAAGAAGCAGTACTTCTGTAACAGTATCATGTTGAACTACTTAGTAGCTATATGCAGAGTGTAAGTTTCACTTCAGTTTCATTGACAGTGTTCTTGATATTTTTTTTTCTCAACTACTTAGAAGTATGGTCCAAGCGAAACAAATCACGGGTTATTTAGTGGAGGATGTCCTAAACTGTTTCCCAAGGGCCTCTATCAACAATTGAACTACTTATAGACTTTTTTCTTTTTTCCCCAGGACTAGAAAATTAGGAGATTAGAGCAAACACTGACAGTATATGGGAGTCATGTAGGAGTTTGTAGCATGGATGCCGTGCCCCAATCTTTTTGCTTATGCTCATGCGCTGATTTGCTCATCTGTCTCACTAGTTACGTTATTGGTACAAATAACTTTTAGAAAATATTTTGAAAATTGAATTTGTATAAAATAAAGTCAAAGAGCTGTTTCTAAAACATTTGGCAAATATTTGATTACCATCAAGGGCATCTGTGCTGAAAACACAGCACGACAGGGCTTGATCACAAAGAAGAAGCTGGGCTCACCTCCTTGTGTTCATATGGGTAGGTGAGGACATAGGAAGGACTTTACTGAGTAAGCAAGCCCCCCATGCTATTCTTTACTCTGAAGAATATATCCACACTGAAAATATTTTCAGCGGCTCAACCAGGCCAGAGAGGGAGCTTTGGAACTTTTTTCCTGCTCCAAAAGCAGGGAATCAAGAAGATTATATGGGGAGCAGACTTTAGGCTGTGAGTTGTCTTCAGTTCTTTTAAGATAGCAGGGGAGGTTAGATTATCAAAAGTAAGTCACTAAAGAACAGTATGCTGTAAGGTTTTTTCCTGGCATCAGTGGTGTTACCCATTTCTGGGTATCTTATAGAACAACTGCCATCTGCGGCCATGCTGCTTAAATGTATATGAGTAGCCAGAAGAGTTGGTTCAGAACCTAGAATGAGTGCATGGTACTAAAATGCTTAAGAGTTCATTGCTGGCTTACTCTTAAGACAATAGTTCTGAAGTATATGCGTTGTAAGAATGCTAACATGTCTGTAAAGGAATAATTAAAATCTGGGACCAAACAAAATATTTCTTTATCTGGCTGTTACCTGAGTTTTACCTAGCTTCCTAGGTTAACATTCAGTGATCCTTGGTAATAATAATAAAAAATGACAGAAATATGAATGATGTTTAGTGTTTTATTAAGAATTTCATTTACAGCCTGTAAATTTGAGGCAGCAATTCTTCTCTAGAGATGTACCCTAAAGTTTTCGTGTAGTAACTGTGGACCATATTGAATAACTTGAGGCAGAAGTGTTGCATTGGTCTGCCTCCTGTTGTCTTTTAAATAGATAAAAATGAAATGGGTCATCTTTTGTCAAGGTGCAATAAAGCTAATGTTTACAAGATACCTGTATAATCTTTCAATTGCTTATAGTCATTGTAAGTGAAGTATTTGATCAGCTTCTCAGCCAAGTACACATGGAAGCCTGATAGTTCCAAAGGTTTAATTCTCTGTTTCCTCTCTCAGTGTAATAAATTTTAAATGGAATTCCACTTTCAGATTCATTTTCATGCGGAGTATTTACATATTGGTGTTGAGGGTTTCTTCTAAGACCAAGATAAGCAAGCTTTTAGATTTCTAGCTGTGTCTTTTGATTGAGGCTGCAGAGGTAGGCTTTAGAATCTTCCATCTGTGTCAAGTACAACTGCCTAATGTACAGGTTTGGAGCTTTTCTGCCATCAGACAGGTCCTTGTCCAACTATTCTAGGAAGCTTCCATTTACAATACAAGGTCTCTTAAACTTGTTTTTCCTTATGTAGTCAGTAGTTTGGCACACTTCTTTGGCTGAACACTTGCCTGCAGAAAGATTATATCAACTGTTCCTCAGTGTCAGAGTCTAAACACCACAAAGTACTAAACAATTTGTTAAACACATTCAGATTTGCCCTGGAAACAGAATTTTGTCCTGGATATGATGATGGTTTTTTTGAGATAATGACAAGCCTGGCCTGTGGTGTTTGGGAGGGCTAAGTTGGTAATTTCTGAGCTGCTAAAATTGAGGCCGAAGCAAGATAATTGAAATGAGGGGATGTGCAACTGGTTCTTCATACACGTTATTCTAATGTTATGAGACTCTGGTGTTCAGATAAGCAATGTAAAATTGACTTATGAAACTTTTAACTTATTTTGCAACAAAATATTCTTTAATCAGTTTTTGACCTGGACTGCCAGGTGAAGCAGTCTTTTAACTTGCTTTTGAGAGCACAGATAAAGCATTGGATTTTGTTTGTTTAATAAAACCAGGAAACTTGTTGACATGGGTGATATGTCAGTTGTGATGGCTCACCCCTTGACAGAAAAATGTCATCTCCTTTTATTGCCTAAAGTCCTTTGCAGCCTCAAAAGCTTTAGCACTTCCTGTCTACTTAATTTATCAAGGCAGGATCATTTGTTCACAAAATAGTGAACAAGTGAAGACAAAATCTTAGTCTGAAATGAAGAGTTCTCCAATGAAGTTGATGACTGTTTGCTTCTACTGAGTAATACATCATTTTAGAAGTTGGTGTTAAACATTTAAATCCTTCAGCTAGAGCAATCATACAACCTTAGCTTTTTGTTTTTTCTTCCTGACCTGCCTGTTCTGAACATTCATATGCAACATGTGGACAGTGAAAGAATAGAATAGAATATTTCAGTTGGAAGGGACCTACGATGATCATCTAGTCCAGCTGCCATCAAGGCTATGGCCTTGACTTTTCTGGGTCAGATCTGGAAAATATTAATAAAATGCCACTTTCTTGTGTGGTTATTAATGAAAGAGCTCAAATATAGACATGATGCTGCTTTTTGCATTATGTTCTGGATTTATGGAAGTAGTATTTGTTTAAAGAGAAACAATTGTTTTTCTGAGTAGCCTCACTGACTTTTGCAGTCATGTTAAATTTATGTTCTAGACTACAGTGAATATAACCAAATGTAGACTTCTGTTGACTCTTGGAGTTCCTTTTTGCACCTTGAAAGTCTGTTTCCACAATCCAGTGCTGGCAAAGAAATAGAAATATCAGTAACAGTTTTGTTTCAGTGTCTTAAACACCGTGGAATTATGTAAATATGTTCTGCTGTCTTTTAAACTCTTCGGCATGTGTTTTGTACTTTAAAAGGCACATATAAAATCTGATTAGGCACTGAACAACTAAGAGGACTTAAGTACAGATGCTTGAGCTGCTTTTGAGACTGTTTTCACTTTTCCATACTAGTGATACCATTGGTCATTGCTGTAAGCTTTAATGCTATTTTTGATTTGTTTTGTATAACTTGTAATTTTTTACTCACTATATGGCATCTTTTGGTTTTTTGCTGTGAAGATCATTGATCATCACAGTGCTGGAAACAAATTTCTGGAAATGGGAGGGAATGTAATTGTATTTTGTTCTGTGTTAATCAGTCTTTTTAAAACAAAACTGAAAACAATCTCCCAATATCCAGTGTTTGTAATCACAGTGAACAGTTTCAGTGAGCTGAATATTAATTCAATGCCTGATAAGCTTCAGAAGCACATGAAGCAAGTCTTTTGTGATTCTTGCACAAAAGTTTTAAATGTCGGTCTAAGTTTGTAAAGTCCTTAGGATTCAAGAACTATAACTGAAGGATCACTATTGTCCTGCGTAAAGCTACGTTTCCTCCAGTTCATAGTTTTAGCTTAAACTTACTGTTTTAACAGTTTAATAAATTTCCTTAGTGGGCAACTGATGTTGGTGTTTGCATGTGTTTCTGACTTTAAAAAAAAAAAAATTAAAAATTCAATGTATTGTAAATTAGCTTGGTACCTGTATTGTGTAAGAACCCTACAGCTCATAGTATAAGTATCAACTTTCTTTAAATTTTTTTCATACTAGAAAATTTATTTGTATTCCTGTACTGCAGCAGTATGATTGTGATTAATGTATGGATACAAAGCTGCATGATGATGCAGCTGCATCTTCAGAAATCATTAATATTTTTTAGTATAGTTTCATTCTATAAATGTACTTTTCCAGTTAGTCAATAGGTCCATTAAGTTAGAATGACTTGTCTGTTGCTTTTGTGTAAAGAAGACAAAGATAAATGACAATTTTTGAGGATCTTTCTTTTTTTAGTTCTTAGAAACTGAGAAGAGTGAAGAGTCAGGTTTTAGAAAATGCTTGAAGCTTCTTGCAAAACTAGCAATAAGCCCTGTGGTTATCTGGGAAGGAGGTATCTTTAGAGGAGCTGCTTAGCATATCCTTTAGAGTGCAAGGGTTTTTCTTTTTTTTTTTTTTTTTTGTCAACCCAGCTATTAAGTGAGGAACAAAACTGTTCTCTTTGGGAAAGTAGGTGGCCTTAATTTCCTTCCTCAGAAAAATGGTTCTATTTCTAGATGACTGCAAAACACAAGGAACTGCATAAAGTTGCTTAAATAAAGATGCTTTAAAAATAAATTACAAAACACTTTTTTCCTACAAAAAATGGAGAATAAGCTAAAGTATGAAGAAGAAAATTTACCACTTCTTTTCCCTCTCATTTTAGGGTACAGTCAATGGTGTGCTGCTAGTGACGCCAAATAATATAATGTTTGATCCTCATAAAATGGATCCTCTGGTCCAAGAGAACGGCTGTGAAGAGTATGGCATCATGTGTCCAATGGAAGAAGTGATGTCAGCTGCTCTGTATAAAGAAATTGTGGACAGCAAAATTAAGGATTCATTAACCATGTAAGATAGAATAGTATTTATAAAGCTTTGAGTAAATATGAACTGTAGCCGTATTGCTGACCATACAAAACTAGCACAACCACATTTTCTTCTGTTTTCCTTTTTAAGAACAACATCAAAGATTGGCTTGGAAAGACCCTTGTGAAAGCTTGCTTTACCTTAAATTCTCATGTTCTATATACCATATAGAATAAGTTCTCTTCTATATACATGGATTCTAATTTCCTCCAATAGTCTCTTTTAAAAATCAGTGTATAGCAAGAGGTACCCACACCACTTACTCTGCCCCTTCCCCACTTTGAAAACAGTAACAGATGCATTTGATTTTTTTTGGTGATTAAAGAACTGATGAACAGAATAGCAAAGTCCATCTTAAACAGCTTTATGTGCAAATCCTCATTGTTTACCATTTTCCACTTGCTTCTCAAACTCTTTCTCTGAGAAGTGGTTGTAAGACTAATTTTTCTGAGATTTGTGGATATTTTTATGGCATTAGGAATACTTTTTTTTTCTTATTGGCTAGGGGAGGAACTGCGTATTCACCTTTGGGTGTAGCCTTGTTTGGAGTGAACAGAACCAATTTGGCTTGGTGAGCTTTACTCACTGGAACTTAGTGTGGTAGACATTTAAAACTGGGTTTAAACAGCATTAAGAAAAATCTTTATTCCATTCTGTCTGTTGCCTAACTTTTGTACTGTCCTTAGAAATAGGATAAATTCTAATGTTAAAGCCAAAAAGGACTTAAAAAATCATGCCACCTTTACCTATCACAGCCCATAAAGCACAAATGTTTGCAGACCACCTTGACTATCTAACTGCAGGGAAGTGGACTCTAACCAAGGTAGAGTTGTCTATATGTATGAGAGAAAAGCTGTTGGCCTGATGCATAACTCTTTAAAAAAATCCCCTTTTACAGTTCTTACAGGTAGTATGCTAAAAACATCTTGATAATCTTAAATGTCCACTCAGGAGAGACATCTTGTCTTGTACCACTTTTAAGTTCAATTTCAGCAGAATCCTGGTAGTAAACTGGTATCGTGGCATGGTCTTATTTCCTGCCTGAAGTCATGTTTTTCTTGAAAGAGCAACTAATGTACGCATTACTATAGTAGTACTTTTGGGGCTTTTAATAAAGAATGATAATGCCTTCAGCGTGATTGCTTTCTGGAAGTTTATTTTCCAGACTGAGTTTTAAAAAGTTGCTTGTAGTTCCTGCTTCAGTTGAAGTATAGTGCAGGTAATGAGATTATGAAAATTAGATGGCTCTCTTTAATCTACCTATTTGAATCATAATATTGCAGTTGCAAAACAAGTCTTTCTAGCCTGTTTAGTTTCTTAAATATGTAAGTCAACATTATGTCATTACCTTCCATGCCCTGTTGATTTTTGTGCTTTTGTAGCACATGCATTTTCTGTTTTGTTTGTAATATAAATGCATATGGAATGAAGACATGTCTAATAATAAAAGGTCACACTGTGCATTTAGAGCCCTGTATGTCCAGTTTATCTTTCTTGTCAGCTTAATATACTATTAAATGGACACTAACTTCTAGGGTTTTCTTTAGTCCCAAAACTTTCATGCTTTAACCTCATCAAAATTTGAGGCATGTTTGTAAATTTTGGGGGAGAACCCCCTCGGATTTCTTAAGTATGCAACCAGAACTCCCAACAGCTACAGCTAGATCTGACAAGACCTGTGTGTCTCAAGGTATTTGAGACGTAAATCATGTTTTCCCACTATTTGGCTTTTTTTTGCTTTACCAGCATAATCCTGAAAAATTGAGAAAACAGCCCAGTCTAATAGGTGATAAATCCTAAACTCTAATCCACATGCTTTGTAAGCAAAATTACTGCATCAGCACAAGTTTAATCTCAGCTTCATGTTTGCACTTGAATAAGAGGGTGCACATGCTCTTAATGTTAGTAATATGACCTAGCTGAATAAAAAGTTTTGTAGAAACATGGAGTGGATTTATCCTTGCAGATGGGAGATGAAGGTATGAGCTTCTTAAAAACATTTGATACTAGGTAATGGAAGATGTAATGTGCTCATGATGGCAAGGGAGTTGGCATTGAGAACTCTAGTCAAAAGTGTGTTTAAACATGAGAAACTTTTTATGAAGGTTGTGTACTGCTCTGTTTTTTGACAACACTGGAAAAGCTTGACTGATGTAGAGATAATTGAGCGTGTTCACAGTCCCCTTGTAGTCCTTCTCTTGTAAAACTTGTAGAATTTTGGTTAGCTTATTTTGAAAAGCATGTTTGAATAAGATTATTTCCTTTGGGGAAAATAAGCAAGCATAAAAAGTTTTTTTTATCAACATCTGATGTCTACTCTTGAAATTTAGTTGTGCCAAGTAGCTTGGGATTTATTTTGCTTAATAGTAGCATCCTCAAAGTTGGATAACTGACTGGTGAAGACACCAGTCACTATTAGGTATTTCCTATGGGCAGAATGGTAAGATCCTCCTTGATAAGATCTACCTTGATGGTTCCTGTTATTCGGCATTGACTAACTTGGATAGTTAAGGTTAGACCAGATGATTTCCTGCATTCATGTCTTACAGGTGAGCTAGGTGTCAACTTCATTGCTTGGGACAGATCTATACCATTGCACTGGCCTCTTTGGTAGACAGAGCTTAAAAGATTGTGGATGATTTCTACCTTTAGAGATCACGGTTGTGTGTAGCTTTTTGTTGTTTTTCCCCTATTCTCTATATTATTTTTACAATTTAAGCATCTCAAACAATCTTGTTGGTTTCATAGGAGAGTTTCTCCTTGCAAAAGTAATGTCATGAAATTGGGAAGTCCTGTCTATGTAATACTGGCAAAAGGTCTACCATAAGCTTACCATTAAAGGAACATATTTTATGCTTGTTTCTTATTACTGATGCTCTGGATTAAATTTGGTTTTTTAGTTTCTCTTTTTTTAAGAGCACCTTTAAAGTTTTTCAGCATTAAACAAAAATTAGTACAGAAAAGAGCTTGATGTAAAAGGCAGCTGCTATAACAACTTTCTTATTGGCTTAACAGAGATCTAGAACAGCTGTCTGTAAGAGAACTTTGCCATTCCAAGAAAGCTGCAAAGAGCAATACAGATGAAATGGATTCCAAGATTCGTGATACAGGCAATGACAGTGCTAGTACTGCCCCAAGGAGCACAGAAGAGTCTCTTTCAGAAGATGTCTTCACAGAATCAGAACTCTCTCCAATACGTGAGGAACTTGTTTCCTCAGATGAGCTTCGACAAGACAAATCTTCTGGAGCATCATCAGAATCTGTCCAAACAATAAACCAGACTAGTGCTGAATGTTTAACAATCATTTCGGACTCAAATGAAGCTGCCAGTGACTTGAAACCCAGTGCCGAAATGGTTGTAAATGTTAAACAGTTTGGTATCTGTAGCTTAGGTTCAGAAAGTGCTGAAATGTTTACAAAGGGGGGACAAGAACCTAGTGAAAACATTGCAGATGTCCTCCAGCAGTCTTTACAAGGATCATGTGATAGTGAAGAGCATAACAGAGAGGCAGAAGTGGGCAACAATCAAGATTCCTCGTTGGGAAAAGAACAAGAAAGAGAGAGTAAGACAGGAGAGGAGTGTTCAAGTTGTGAAGATACCACAGACTCTCAAAAGAAAGAGACAACTAGCAAAGGAAAAGTAGTGAAAGCGCAAACTCAAGACTCTGAAACAGAAGTTGAGGAACTCCGCAAGCTCTGGAAGACCCACACTATGCAGCAAACCAAACAACAAAGAGAAAACATGCAACAGGATTCACAAAAAGAAATTAGTCAGAAAACTGTGACTGCAGGAGATGGGCAATTAGAAGGTGAGTGAGTCAGTATTTATGGATACAGTTAGCCTTCAGATTTCTGATGTATCTCCCTCCAGCTTACCAGAATTCTTGTTGGTTTGTGTTCTGTAGAACATATCTCCCCATATGTTACTTATATTTCTCACTGGCTTGAAGATATACCTAAAGTTATACCTTATATAAACTAGTAGGGAAAACATTGCTTAGGAAACTGAAAGCATGGATACCTTTTACTGTTATTTTTCCTTACTAAAATTATATTTATGATCATATTAATACATAATGTCTTTGTAGGGGAGATTTAAATGAGCCTATAAAATTAGATCCATGATGCATTGGTCACTATAGAGCTCAAAATCTAAAAACGTTTTTTTTAGCAGTCAGCTTGCTGTCACTTAAATTTTGATCCCACTGTACATGTATATGAATGAATTTCAGGGAATTAATTTCATCTTATTTATGGCATGTCTACCTTGTGGTTAAGGTTTATTTGAGCAACAAGGTTGAGACTTAACACTGATATTTTCAGAACTCTTTCACTTGCATCTTGTCATACTTTCGTGCTGACTAGAACAAGCTTAAGCATACAAAAAGATTTCTCAGGATAAGTAAGAGCTAGTTGGTAAGAAACTAATGCTATGAATATGGGCAACAACTAGGTTTATTTCTTGAGTACCTTTTATTCCTCCACAAAGATCAGACCCTAAGATTATTAGTTGGAATTCATCTTTGAAAGTCTGTTGAAGGTACTCAATTCGTATAAAAGATACAGTGTCTTTCAAGTAACTTAAAGATGTTCCTACATGTATTTGATTTTGCTTTCTAAAATATTCGTAGGTCACTTTTTGATGCCTTACTATCTTAATACTGGAGATAAACTAGTTGTTTTAATTATGCAATATTTTGAGAAAGAAAACATATCTATTAATGCCTGTCACAAACTAATAAATTATACGTGGAGAGTGTTTGAAGGCCAAATTGCTTATGCTAATTATTAAAAGTTGAGATTGTCAACCAAAGAATATACCTCTCTATTGAATACAGAATTTAATTTTACACTTCAGAATCTGATATGATAGTTTTCAGGGTTTTTTCACCTTGTTAAGGAAGTAACAGTTCAATTTTGAAGCAGACTAGTTACATCATTCTGTGATAACTTTGGCTTTTATGCCTTCAATATTAGAGGAAGTCCTCTGGCAAAAATGTCAGCTAGCAGTAGTTGCTGGTTGTGACTTTTAAAAAATGCAGGCACCAAGGGTTCTTTGCCACAATTGCTGCTCTTCCTACAGTTGAATATTACTTCTAATTCAGTTATATTAAACGCTTTAGTTTGTGGGTTTTCTAAAAGATTGCATCATTGAGTGACTCTACAGGTTTTTGTGCATGATGATCTGTACAGTCACAGAGTATATACATATATGATCAAAAAAGTGTCTGTATACAGTCAGACAGAGGAGTGCTGGCTAGAAACCTTCTGCACATAGTGTTACAGCCTCACTAAAGGTTGTAAGGGTACAATAGAAAGAAAAAAAAAAATTAAAAAAAAAGCACAGGTTAGTTTTTAGAGATTTGTGGTAACAACTTCAGTCCAGCTTCATTTGAAATTATTGTCTACTTCTTATTCTTGCATGTTGCATTTGCAGAATGCAAATAAGCCAGTACATTGTGAATTAATATTTCTCAGTCTAGATGGATTGCTTGTACTAGCAAGCTTGAAGCTTGCAAGTACAAGTGAAGCTTGTACTAGCTTTGTCTACAGGCAAATTTAAGTAGAGCCAAGGTAAAAGCATAGATCTATTGCTTAACTCTTGAGGGTCACCAAAGACAAGCTGACAGATCTGTTAACAATAGGTCACTAAAAAACACTGGGTCATTTAAAAAATTGAAACACTGTAAACTTCTTCTCATATCCTGTCTGTTGGACTAAAACTCTGAATTAATCATACTATGATTTTTGTATGATTGTTACATAGTCCTTTTATCTCCTGCATATAGCAAGGACTTAACTGAATTTTGCTCCTTTGCGGCGGTTTTGAGCATCTAGGTTTTTGAGAACTACCATTTGTTGATCTTCACAGAGTTCACGTTTCTGATTTTTGAATTAATGATCTATTTGATCTGAATGTTGAACAGGTGATGCAATGCAAGTTGATAACTATGAGTAGACTAGAATAACTAAAAAGGCTCCCTTGGATTTTTTTTTTCTTGTTAATGCAGGACTCTTGTATTCCCTTCTATTTTTTACAGACACTTATGTTAACCACTGGACTGAAATAATAGCTAGATGTAGTTGATACTTTGGCAGAGTTGTAACGATCTATAATTTTGTGTGTGTATAAACAAGCTGAAAATTCATTGAAGACAACATGTCTGCTGCTTACTTAACTGGATATTGGCAGAGGTTGAAAAGGGCAGGGGGGGGAAGCAGAAAACACACAATAGCCATTATTAAAGTCTGATGAATTCTGTGTTAAATATACAAAAAATATATTGGAGAACACACCAGAAAAAAAGCATCATAAATAGTCCTTTTGAGATTTGGGCAGGGCTACATAGTTTGTTTTCAGTCTCTCTGCTAGCTAGAGCTATAATCTCACTCATTTTTCTTTTTTAAGGTATGGTAAAAATCCCACTTCTCTGACCTCTAGGTCAGAGAAGTTAACTGCTGCATCTGAAGGACGAAAATCCCAAATATCAGATCATTTTAAGAGTACTTCTCTAGCACTGTCACAAAGTTCATGTGCCAATCCTATGAGTGTTTTTTTTTATTTTGGTTCTTTTTGGTTTTGGGGTTTTTATTTTACAGTTTACTTGTGATCTTAGATTTATAAAATACTTCCAAGTAATACATATTATGACACTTCTACCATACTGTATAATGCAGGTATAATTGTAAAGTGTTGTAACTGAAAATTAGGAGACGCATATTTAAATATTTACTGAAAAAAATATTCTTTTGTGGAACAATGCTATTCTAAACTTTATGGGGAAAATCTAATTGAGAAAACATACAGTAGAGATGTTTATAGCTCAAGAAGGTGATGTTTTCTGTGCTTAGTATATCTGTAGTCTGTATAGACTCTGAAGGAGTACTTCAGCTGTAAAGAAAAGATGAGTGTCCTAGAAAATTGGAACATATCTGTACATATGTACATACATATAATGCTAGAGGTAGGATAAATACTTTTGTTTTCATAGCTGATCATAAGAACTCTTAAATTTACATATTCCTTCCTTGCTTTAAGAAGTATTTTGTGGCAGGAGCTCATGTTCTAGGATTTGGGCAATTAATCTAGCAAAGAAACAATTTTGAGAAGGCTTCTTAATTTACCTTGTGCTGACTTGACAATTCAACTTTGAGGGTAATTGTATAATTCTATTAGTTCAATTAAATATACCACTGGAGGGGGAAAAAAATCCGTACTGCAACATCCAATATACTTCATCATGAAGTGGTGTTCATACCTTTGAAGTGTTTGATGTAGCTAACAAATTAAAATTCATCTTATTCCTCTATTAGTAGTGCCAGAACTTTTCTTTTTTTAAATGAAAAGTAACTAATGAACAGCTTTGACATATGTGAATCAAGTCTAAGTACTTACTTAACACTCTTATCTTCTGTATATATATATAATATATTTTTAACAGTGGGAGGGTTTTCTGATTTGGTGGTGAGGGGGTATGCATTGAGAATACCTTCTGAAATACTTTCAAGCATGGATGAAAGACTATCATAATGTGATCTGGGGTAGGACGCAGAAATGAATGCTAGAATTATTCAAATGTGTTGTACTCTGAAGCTAATTCTGCTGATGCAATTTATGTAACAAAAAAGGACAGGTGATCATTACTACCTATGTTAACTCATCTCCTGTTACTTATTTATATATCTGTCCTATATACCTGTATTGCGTATACCTGTATTGCCTAATACATAATTGGCTAATAATTTTGTTAAGCTCTTTTGTACATTGATAGCTAACTTTTTCTTTACTAATAGGTTCTTTTCTTACAAAAGAAAAAAGACGGCATCGATCTCACAAGTTTCTGCGTCTCAGGGTTGGAAAACCCATGAGAAAAACATTTGTTTCACAAGCAAGTGCATCAATGCAACAGTATGCACAGAGGGATAAAAAACATGAGTACTGGTTTGCTGTTCCACAAGAAAGGTAAGGAGGAGATAAACTGTAAAAATCCACGCTTTCCAGTAGGTCTTTGAGCTTTTTTCCTGCACCACTCAAATTTTGAGTGACTGTCTATAAAGCAACACAAAAAAAAGGGTCAACAACTGAGGATATTGATGATTGGCTTGTACTTAACACTGGAATACCTCCTTACCATACTGAAATTTTACTGATTTACTTGAGTTACTTGCAAGTTCAGCCGATAGTTTCTCATGGTATTATTTAGGCTTGTGTTCATAGCAAGTAAATAATGAAAGAAAGATTCAAGTAAGTGGTGTCTGGTGAAGGAAGTGAGTTCTGCAACAAAGTTTTTATTGTCATTATCTGTGTTTCCCATTATTTGGAAACTGTCTAAAAATTCTCTCTACTTCTTAGAGCTTTGAGTTCAGAAGAGCTAGCTGGGGTTCTTTTGTCTTATCTTTGTATATGGAACATAAAACTTTTCCAGGAAGCAACTTAAACATATCTACCCGAAAAATATCTAAATTTGTTGCAGTGATTCAAAGACTTGAGATGTCCATGGTCACTCACTGGTAAAGTCTTGAATTCCTAAATGATCTTTACTGCTAGGAAACTGACATATTTTCAAGTTGAATGTGATTTTTTTTTGGGGGGGGAGGGGAGGGTATTGGAGATTATTATATCCTTGTCAGAAGAGATGGGGGGTGGGAAGAAAGAAAGAACAGCAACAAACTATCAGCTATCATCTTGTATAAATACCTACATGCAATGATCAAGTCACTTTTCCATCTTTTCTTTTGAGCTGAATGGCATAGAATATCCAGTTGGGGCACTGCAGTTGAGGACAGATATGGATCAATTGGAGAGAGTCCAGAGGAAAGCAGCAAGACTAATTAATACCTAGAAAGTGTAACATATAAAGAAAATTAGAAGTAAGTGGGGTTCTTTAATCTAAAGGAGAAAAGGTTGATTACAAACATAAAATCATTTTCATACTTAAGTTGGCTGCAACAAGAAAGGTAGTAGTCTCTTTTTTTTGTGTTCACTGTGAATGGAGATGTGTAATGGACTGAAACGTCATCAAAATACTTGAGTTTTCCAACAGAAAGAATTGAGTCTGTACTAGAAGGTCACTAACCTGCTTTTAAACATCACCCCTGCTACTCCTAACTGGTGGCGATTATGCATTTTCTTGAGACAGATATGTCACACTGGTTCTGTATAGCTAATCCTGTCTGGGCCAGATGACCTCTTGTGGTTACAGTCAACTCAAATTTTCTTGTTCTATTCATATCATATTTAATTTGAAAGCGGATGTTTCACGTATGGCAATGATGTCTAGGTTGGTTTATTAAAATGATTACTGTCTCTTTGATTCATTTTCTAAGGTAGCAGAGCAAGTACTTATCTTCAGCACAAAGCAGAATTTATCACCTATTCAGAAGAAATAGTTCTTAGTTTACAGTCTGTATCAGATCTCCTTGGGAATTACTCCACCTATGAAGGGTTTCTCTCTCTAACTGCATGGTAGTTAGTAATCTGTTCTTTTTCCATCCATTGTATGTCCTATGTTTTTGTACACAAAGTCAGATCTGGTGTTAGTGGGGTGTTTGTTTTCTTAATTCAGTTAACCTTATTGAGTGCTACTCTGTAAGTCAAAATATTTAGTGTCAACCCAGTTGTCTTTGTCACCTAGTGGTAAGAAAGAGGAAAAAAAGTAGGTATCTGACAAACCTGCATTATTTCAGTGTTCTTCATCTCAGATGAGCCAGTCTGGGAAGGAGTGTCTTGATGTTTAAGGAACTCTAAGTTTTATTTACTTTTTTAAACTGCCCTAATTATACCAAATTTCAAGTTCTTAAAGTTAAAATAATGATTTTTTTTCAATTTTGCTACTTGTAAGACTTAAAATTTGATACTTCATTCAGTGCATGACTCTGCAGCTTCTTGTTCTTTGTCACAGAACTTATCTAGCTTAAAGCATCTGAAATGTTTTATTCTCTTACTATCAGAGAAAGATTTATCTTTCTTTTTTTTATCAGTGTTATCCAGGAACCTTGATTTTAACAAGGGTAACTGAATAACTGACCCTGTTCGGAGACTATTATCACAGCCTTTTAGACAGAGGCACATGAAAATTATAGGTGCAGTTTTGAGAGACTTTGCTGCTCTATATCTCTTGGTGTTCTTTCAGTATTCAGGGATTTAGTGGGGTGGGGGGGGAAGTCCAAATATTGTTCTGCATGCTAATCCAGTATGCATATTCACTGTAGCAAGTACCTCTGAAGAGAGGCATAAGGAATATTCAAAGTCTTAGTAAGCAGAGCTATAAAGCTCTAGCTCTAAAGCTGTCTTTTCCATGATGAAGAGATACTAGTGGATTCATTGCACGTCCCTCTTCTTAAATGCTCCATCTGTGCACCTACAGGAAATGCTTGAACAGTATAGACTGACATCTAGTAGGGTTGTGAATAACTTTCTTCTGGGAATTTGGGCATTTTGTTCTTCCAAACTGGAGAACCATGCATTTTGTGGCAGGTAACTTAAAAGGAGGTAGCTTTGAATCTTGGTACTTACTGCAGTACTGCAGTTAGAGTAGTCTGTAGGTTATGATCTAGCTCATTCTCTCTCATATCTGTAGTAATTCTCACAGTCTGTTTAATTTTGGTCACATGTCTTGGGAGTGTTCAGCTCTTCTTCAGGGATGGGGAAAACAGACATGCAAACACTTTTAAATTCCAATTTTGTTAATGTTTTTATGTAACTCTTTTAAAATAAAATTAAAAATTCTCAGTGTTTTATTTTGGAAATTATTTCAGTTGTAAACAGAGGTTTCCACTGGGACAGAAGTAGTTGAAGGACATTAGTTATATATGAAAATGCAGCTAGTTGATTGCCAACTTGTTTCCTGCTTTTTCCTCCAGTGTCAGCTTCATATAATTAGGAAGGAAAAAAAAAAAAACAAACCCACAAACCAACAAAAAACCTAGCTTTTTTTCAAATGTGTGTTTAATATCTAGACAAACATGAAATAGTAAGTATTTTCACTTTAACCTTAAATACTTGATAATTGTTAGACATGACCCAAAAGATCACAAACTTACCTTATTTTCTTTTCTGTGTCATTACTTGACTTCTCTAGGACAGATCACTTGTATGTCTTCTTTATCCAGTGGAGTCCAGAGATATATGCAGAAGATACTGGGGAATCTCTTCGAGAACCTGGATTTATAGTGGTAAAAAAGAAGGAAGAGCCTGAAACTAGTGAAGAATCTACTACTGAAGATGCTGCTAAAGAGTGGGAGGTAAGGAAGAACATTGTCAAAGAATTTTTTTTTAATACTTTCATAGCAATTTAGTTAGTGTTAAATACTTTCCAATAAGAAAAACAAAGCAGTGTGCTTTATTAGTCTGCTTACTATGATCATGACTGTTTAATTTATGCCATCCTAATGCTTTGCTCAAACATCAGTTCAGCGTAACATTTCACAAATACAAGTCATTTTTGAATGGAGCAAGTTGTAACTTAAAACTCACAATTGAAAGGAATATGAGTACAGCAAAGAAGTTGCAACTTGATGAAGCAGACTTAGTTTTCAGTCAAGGAAACTGACAGTTTTCTGAGACAGGAATAATAGGTATCTAGAATGTTGAATACTTACTGGTAAGTCTCAAAACAGTGATGAGACAAAAAAGAAAAATTAATCTATTAATGACATGTTTTTCCAATAATCCGGTAATTCTCAATTACAACTTCTTCATACATTAAGATGCTGTTGCATGGATTTTAGTAATATACTGTAACTGGAGCTCTCTCTTTATTTTTTTTTTTTATAACAAACACATTTCTCCCATGTGAATCTGTGTCCACTGTGTTTCTATGGACACATCTTTACATGTCTACATGGTTTTGTTTTGTAGTGTACATGCAGTTAAGCACTTCTAGTCTTGTGCATTCAAATGTCAGTCAAAAGTTTGATTCCTGTCATAAATATTGTAGAAGTATCCCATCAGCACTGTTTAACTTGAGTCTCAGGACAGCAATTGCAATCTCTGACTAGAAGACTGATAATTTTTTTATTATTTTTTTAACTTCCCCGCCCCACAGTGGAGCATGTTGAAATTAAGGAAGTCTATTCTTGTGTCTTATGTATAGTGTAAAAGAAATTTTTAAAAACTGCAAGAGTCTAACTATGGGTAATGGTTTTCTTCTTAGCTCCAAAACTTAGAATCGTAGTAGAACTCTGACTTCAAACTTTTCACTTACTTAGGTGAAGTGTTAGGCTGTGGTTACAAAACACTCTGCAGCTCAATGATTTTGCATGGAGCATTTTTGCTTTGAGACATAGAAACTAATAGCATAAATGTCTTTTGAATCTTCATATTTTCAGCATGTATATTGCTTGAGTATTGTTACCAGTGATGTATTTTGGTGTTTACTCTTGCTCAAAGCCCTTATAAGTATTTGATGGTATAAACTTGGCCTTTTGGAACAAGGGGATCAGAATGGCAAGTTACGATATTATGGTTTAAGGCACAGTATATTTCTCTTTTAATGAGATCTTCAGTAACTTTGCATCTTAATATAATTACAGAATAACTTCCACAGAACAGAATGCAATGTTTTCTTCAGGATTAAATGTTGTAACTTTTTAGGAGTTACTTCTGAAGACGGTAGAGGCTGTCCTTTTCCTATGTGTATCAAAATGTGCAAGTTATTTACTACAGAATGAGTTCCTGCCTTAAGCCTTTATTTAGGTCTCCTCTGGAAATAATTGTAGAAGACGTATTTCAAAAATATTGTTATTTCTATACATGTTATGTGAAAATTATGTCAAGTTTGGTTCTCTTAAGATAATCCAGAAAATTTTATTGTTTTATATAGAAGTTAGTGTGATTAGTGAGAATTTTTTTAAGATGTTATGCAAGTACAAGAAATATGCTAATGTGGTCTTCTGCATTTTAACTTGAGTAATGTGACTTCTCATGACTGACTGCTAGCACAAATCTGAAAGCTGTTAAAAACTAACTTTTTAATCAGAAATGTTTGACAGTACCAGATGGTTCAACCTGTCATTATGTACAACTGCATCTTAGTGGCTTTTAATGTATGTGCTAGAAAGTATCAGTACCTACAGGGAATTGTAGCTGTAACGGTATCATTGAAACCTTTTTGTGGGTATTGGGATGAAAAATGGGCTGCCTTCTTCAGAACACAGTGATGGGAAAACTCAGGGTGGAAGGGCAATGGAGAGCAAAATCTTGATTTACAAATACATCATGAAATGCTGTTGATTTACAAAAAGTGGAAGCTAGTAGAGTAGCTTTCTTTTCCAAAAAATGTTCTCTCTGCTGTTGTGCAGTATCTTAGACTGGACAAACAGGAAAGAGGATTAATGAGTAACCGAGGTGCAGTGCTCAGAGACAGCTTTTGCTTCTTTCTTGATAAAAAGCTACAGCTGAATGTGTTAACATAGGACTATCAAATAGACTTTAAAGAATTACTGTGCTTTTTTTTTAGTGGAAAAGATTTACAGGAAGAAGAAGGAACAAGCAAAAGCAAAGATCAGTAACATGAAACAAGTAGTAGGAGCTGGTTTATAAGTTTATTTAATAAATCAATTAATAGAACTGAACTCTTACTCTTGATTTATACCCATTTTTCATCTGATTATGCTTTCTTCTTTTACCTGTATAGAGTAGTCTATTCCCTATTGGCTTTTTCTCTGAACTAATCCAATAGATGTAACCTCAGCTGATCTAGTGGCAAAGAAATCAACACTCCTGTCATCATATTAAACACTGCTTTGATCAAATACTGCACTGTATGAAGCGTCAAAAAAAAAAAAAATCCAGGAAATCCTTTAGCTGACTCTTTTTGTATTATATGCTACACACTTAATAGATTTCTGATTTATTGGAAATAACCATGAATCTACTACTATCTAACATTACTATCAGTAAAGCTGACTAATTCATAGGGTTTAAAACAAACTCTGTGTGGGGTACCTTGTAGCTCCTGTTGCGGATGGTGTTCCTCAACATCAGGCCTTCCTGAGAGGCCTCCACCTGTCCCATTGGCAAAGTTCTCTGAAAAGGACACTTTTTTTACTGAAGATCAGTCCATGCTAAAGATGTCACTGTCCATTAGAAATGAATAGACAAGAACTTTATTTTATATATTATGTAAGAAATAAAAGTGTGCTGCTAGGTTCTTCATGGTCTTATCCCCATCATTTTCCTCAAATATTTCCTTTACCTTCTTGTACTTAAGTGAATGAGCATACACCAAGGAAGAGAGGTGGTTTAGGTTTGGGTTGGGTTTGTTTTGGTTTTTTTCTACTTGTACTGAGCCTTGAGGATGTAGAGGTATATTTATCATGGTATTCTTTTTTTGCTTAGTGTGTATTAGTTCAAGTCATAATGGCTTTCTTTATCTGTTAGCACAATATGTGTTGATAAACAAATGCTTTCTCCAAAGCGTGTTCTATACTTGCGTCTAAACATGGCCAGATTTGACAGCAAGCTGACTCTTTCTGTTGCACAGTGCCTCAGAAACAACTTCCATCAGTACTTTATGGTCTAAATTTGTTTCCTTCTGAAGTTTGAGTTGTGTATATATAGTAATGTGTTTAGAAATTCATGATATAGTGTTAAGGTGCTTGCTGTTAGATAGCTGCTGATACATTAACATCATTTTGGTGCCAATTAGTACCACAGCTTGAAAACATTAAGGAGTTGTCACCTGGTGTTGGTAAAGGTGTGGTACCACAGTATTTGAAAGC